ATAAAACCTAAAAAAATTATTTTGCTTTGTATTGTCCACATGCAAAATTTTAAAAGGCTTAGCAACCTATGTCAAGCAGCAACCGAGTACAAAGGTTGTAATTAGAAGACATAATTGTTTGCTTTACTTTTTTACTGTTCTATGTTTTAAGAAAAAATAAGTTTAAGAACTTATTTCAAAATAGCAATAATCTATATACATATATAATGTATAATACTTGAAATGTGACTGTATTTTACAAAATACTTGTCTACTAAAACACAGCCAAGACAGGTCACTTTGTAAAGACTAAAGGTCAGTTTTATATTATTGGATACAGTAACATGATTGTACATGTGCCGTGTCATTGTTACTTCTGTATTGTTTGCCAGACTTAGCTGAAATGTCAATATAATAAAAATAATAAGTATATATAAATGTATAATGTTATGATATTTAAGTTATTTAGTCTAAACATTTGTTTTCATGTTATAATCTGTTGTCATGCTAGAACGAAAGAGGCATAACTTATATTTATTTTCTAATATTTTTAAGGTGGTTACAAGATCAGTCAAATCTACTGACCCCTACAGAGATTCGTCAGTGAAAATAACAGATAAATATATAATTTTATCCTTTAGAAATGTTTGATAACTATCTCGACATTATAAAGATTTCACATGTGTAATTTGAAAATTTTCTGATGCATAAAAGTATTTGTAACCTTAAAATGAAAATTACTTTTCATGTTGGATAGGCAACATGTGAAAAGAAAAAAAAAAGCATGAGAAAAACATTGCTTAACGAACCTTAAGACTTAATAAAAAATTTGATATTTTTGCATATGAAAGCATTGTCATGTTTACTAATAACCTGCTAAATTTCGTTAACATATGCTTACTAACATAAAAGTTATAGCATGAAACTATAACTAGCACAAAACAGTTATGAGGTCGGTCCCAGAGACCGAGCTGAAATTGTTAACCAACCCACAAGAGTTGCCTCCAGGAACAGCATATGATTGTGATTGGTGGACTCCTTTTCTGAAAGGTCTAACAGAAACCAGTCCTCCATGTAATGATGGAAGCACAACCCCAGAGCATGGAAATGTTAGGCAAAAGTCTTGACCAACCAACAAAAAACATACAGGGCCCGACTGACAAGATATCATGATATTCAGGTAAGCATTTACGACGTCTACCTTAGTCATTCATAAAAATGGAGAAAAAGCTCAACTAAGGGTGAGAAACAATACATGGTATATTGGGGTTGAACCAAATCAATCACAGGCCACCAGTCCCTGGTTTTCTTGGGTACCATAAGCAGCCTGAAATAAAAACCTGGAAATGGATGATCGACAGGTTCGTTGGCTTGCTGGGAGAGAAGATCTTCTACCAACTCAGACAGGAATTGACTGGTGGTAGAATCCTGAGGCATATGTAAGTTCCAGAGATAAGTTGGATGTAAATGAACATAAATCCCTCCACAGGAGATCCCAACAACAGAGAAACCATGTGTGTGAGGCTAGAGGCAAGGAAGACAAACATGCCAAAGTGGAGGTAATCAGGGAGAGGCAATCCCCTGAAAAACCTTCAGGATCTCTGTGGATCACCTCACTAAGGAGGTGGATGGTAGACAAGTACCATAGGAGAATCAACAAGGTAAGATGAGAAAATTGGGCATGAAATAAACAAACAAGATGATTGTGCCAAAGAAAAGAATGAGGAATTTTGCACATGAATGTAGAGGTTGCATTTGTGCAAAGAGATGTGTCACATTCCTATTGGTGGAGGATTTTACATGAAACTTTGGTGACAGTTGTCACAAGACTGGTGTCATGCAAGTTTCTCAGGCATATTAGTGGGACTTCAAGAGAAAAATAGTTTTCTGTGTACAGAGTTGTGATCATATCAGAATGTTTCTATTTCTTCTTCTTCTTCATATTGCACCACTTAACCAGTTTTTGTTTTGTTAACATTTTAAAACTCACCTCCAATACTCATCAATTCCTACACTGAAACAATTCTATCCTCATTCTTAAAATATGTTACTCATTGCCAGCTAGGTTTGATGATTCCTCTTATTATTGTGGTTATGACTTACCTGCATGTAGCTCTTAACTAAAGAATACAACACATGCATGTTTTTTTAAGCAATGTTTCAAATTAGCCACGAGAATTTCCATAATGTATGCCTTGCTTGCTGTTAAAAAATAAGACTGAAACTATTACAAATTGCTACTCTCTTTGCACTATTGTTATACTGTTCTCCAACAAATGAAAACCATGTATTGAAACCCTGTTCAGAATATTATGCATTTTTCAGCAGATGTTTCTAACCTAAGCTTGTGCACAATATTTATACTAAGAAATAAATAAGCTGGGGCTATTATCAATGTTAACAACCTATTACTAATTACTGTTATCAATCATTAGTAATTGTCGCTCTATATAGCACCAACTGGGATCATTCAGCTGCTTACAAATAGGCTGATGAAATTCCTTGAGAGTAGAAACTCCAAACCAAGACGCATACAGTATCTGAAAAGTGTGCAAATCTGGACTTGTTGGAAAAAATTACAGTGTAATAGCATCTATCAATCTCATTGCTGTTGACCTCCAATATTTCCTGGAGTGAGTAGTGACATCCACCTAACTATTATGCCATTATGGTCCATACTATGAACATAACTTCAAAGGTACTAGAACCTGTAACTGTAATGACTATTTGATATGGGTCATTCTCCACATTTCTATTCACAAAATGAAGAGTTTATTCTGTTAGTTTTGGGTGCCTGGGCCATGCAGAAACTATTGTTTACTGAAGATAATGGAAATGATTCATACAGATTTTATGAAAGAAAAATTGCAGGACATTTCAAAACTTTTTCTCTGAACCTATACTCCAATTTTCAGGACTTTTGAATCTTGCAACAAAGAATAATGTCTCCTCCACAGGGATGGAAATATATTGTTCTTCCCTTGTTTCTTTCTTCTTCTTTATTCTTATTCTTTCAATAATTACAGAGGTTGAGTACATTATATTAGGATGATTTTGGAGCTTCACCACATCATGGTCCTGCAGCATAGTTTCCAATGCAAAAGAATCCATCATGAAATTCTCATGTTCAAACTACACCTGTCCCCCCTGCTATTTTCCATAATCCATTTTGTGTACAAGAACAAAGGTTTCCCAGTGCATATTTCAACAGTCCAATTGCACAGATATCCACAGGCATTGATACATCAGCAGCTTGACTGTTATGTGTTAACAAGGAAAAGTATTAAACCACTTTCATTCTCCAAGTGCTTGAGGTATATGATGATTGAATGGATATGACATGTAATAAACTTCTGAACAAATGACTTGTGCCACTTTTCCAGATGTAGATCCTCCTAGGTAGTACCGCACACTGTTGCCTGGGTCATATGGATGGCTTTTGTCACTGAACTTCGTATTTGTGGCTTCTTACCTCTTACCACAGCTTGTGTACAACTTGTTGTAGAGCTCTTTTCTGGATGGTACTAGTGCCCCAAGTTTACCCAAATGCAATTAATTACAGGGGATATTCACATCTTGGAAATTCTAAATTCCCAATCTGAACAGATATTTATGATTTGAATCAGAAAGAGCTGTTACATACCCTCCTCCAAAGTGATTATTATTGGTGGCACCACACAACCTGCAAAATGCCAAATGTAGTTCTGATACATGCCATTTCATTGCAACTTTATATCAACTATGGTTGTTACATGATTTGCTGATTTGCATATTCAAAATAATTATAATATGTGTTCAACAATCTGTACAGTTGTGTCATTCCTTTATTACTGGGCTGATTGTCTTGAAACTTAAGAGGGAATATAGCTCGTTCCGATATGCCAATATATCTTTTAATTTTTTTATTATTTAGGATCCCATTCTGACTTCAGGGGATCAAAGGTCAAACATCACAAAAACATATTTTGGCCAGCAGTTTCCCTATATTTCTATTAATCCAAATGAGACTTGGCACAGACACCTTGCAACAACTTTCACAAAGAATAATGCAAACAGATTTTGGATGTGTGACTTTCTTTTAATTTTATAGAGGTCAAAGGTAAAAGGAAAAAATGCAAATTGTCAGTTTTGGCCTGCTATTTCTTTATATTTTATATCCCAGCCAGCCTAAGGAGCTCTGAATTGAGAGAAATGCATCATTGGCAATGGATATGACAAATACAGTGTGGTTAAAATTCTATTAATATACATTTATATAATTATTGAAAATCCATGAGGGAATGGATTAAAAATGTATTGTTAAAAAATATAATAATGTCTCATGATAAGTATAATTATGCTTCACCAGCTTGAAAAAGACGTTTACACCATAAGACGTAATGTACTTGTATAAGGTTACAAGATTTTCTAGTGACAAAGATTAAAAATTAAGGTTGTTAAGTTAAAATCAGCAGCTACTCCTGATTTTAAATAATAAAATTAAACTTTAAAGTAAAGGTCTTATGATATTATGTATTTTTTTTATTTGTATTTCTCTTAGGCAAAGATTATGCAACATATAGAGCTACTTTTCAAAGTTCAAATTACTATGCTGGTGTTAATTTAAAATAAGCTAACTTCATTACCTGAAATAATGATTTGGGTCTGTGACAAAAATAAAAGATAACAAATGGGCAGTTAACTGCATGAACTCACCAGTACAATCACTATATATCAAGCAGTATTTTGTACTGTAAAATATTCTAAATGTTTTATTTTTTAATTGTAATTAAGTATATTACTATATTCAGATCTATCAAGAAAAGAAGAAAGAATAATTTGATTCAACTACAAATCTGAACTTATGGTAATATCAACAACTGTTATGGTGTGAATGACTTTTATAATCTGGCAAAGGATGATTATAATAATTATACTTGTCACAAGACATTATGTTAGGTCTGTTATTATTTTTTTAACACTAGATTCTTTATCTAGTTCTTTAGGAATTTTCCAGAATTAGAAGAGGGTATAATGGCAGAGGTGACAGAAGCGCCGCGGCAGCTATGGCCACAGCGCTTTTTCAGTTGACTACAATTTATAAAAGAGGACTTAATCTTAATTTTCTGAATGTTGTCTTCAACATTTTAAGATATAGGCCTATGTTATCTTTGAATGAATAAGTCAAGACCAACTTGTCTCGGCTGCAATATCCCCAGTTTTCCTGAAAAGCTCTACTTTGAACAAAATATATTGTCAGCAATTGATGTGATAAATATAGTGTGGATGAAATACTATTATTATACACTTTTCTAATTTTTGAAAATCCCTGAAGGACCAGATTTAAATTGTCGTGTTAAAAAAAATAATAGGTATAATGTAATGCCTTATAATAATATGAATTAAAATACAATTCTTTAGAGGAAAACATATTTAAAAGGATAACTGGCCATTCTGCCAAACTTAATCTGTCTTAAGAGTAAAATAAAATAAGTTTTTAATTGTACTTTTAGTCCTGTTAATCAACAAGCTGTGTACTAACTGGATGTCTACCACCCTACTGACCATTGTTTCAATTAAACTTGAAAGCTATCCTTCCATTCTTGATACAATTATGTTTGAATGTCTATTGAAAGATAATACTTGGCTGAAAAACATTAAAATGGTTTACAAAAAGCTGATTTTTTATTATTTCATAACACTAGCAGCTACCAATTAGGCAACAACTGGATTATCTAATTTTTATACCCTGGCCTTCTTTCTGCTTAATTGGATTTGACAATAACATACCTTTTACATTATTCCCTGGAATAATTCCTTTCATCTTGAATTATTAAGCTGTGTCCAAATCTACTGACAGAATATTTCAAACTCTGAAATAGTCAACAAAAAATAAAAAAACCTCTTTATACTAGGAATGATAATTTAATGACTTAACCTATTTTTAAGAAATTAAAAATAATATATATATATATATATACAATATATTACAAAATCACTAAAGATTTTTCTGACAAAAATCTACATAAGAGATTTAACATCACAAGATAATTAAATAATACAAGTAATTTAAGAGTATTACTTTTTGTTTCTTCACTAATCATATGTTCTTTAAATATTTAAATATTATGTAACTTACATTATACAATTACAGAAATATGCATAGTTTGTATGCTTTCAGAATATATTGAATAATATGTCTAAATTATCTTTAAACATCTTCAGAACTGTACAGGCAGTGAAATCCCTGCTTTTGGGGAGGGGTGTCTCTCAGGGTGGTCTGGGGACCTCCTGCTGGAAAATATTTGGAAAATGAAGGTCTCATATGCACTCTGGTGGCTTATGAAGGATAAATATAGTCTACTCAATCAATGTTAAAACACGACTTGCTAACCAAGAAGTTTCAAATAATTCAATGTAAATTCAAAATATTGTCTCACTTTAAAACACTTTCAGTATCCACATAATTCATATTTCTTCTTCAATAGTTACAATTTATACTTGATTATTATCTGATTTGATAACAGTTTATCAAAATATTATAACAAGCATATTAGAGTTTTATAAATCAGTTGATCTAAAATCAACTCCAAACCTCTCGATATTGACTTCTTGTGAGGGGGACCTGTCAATCACTGCTAAACAGCATCACTATGAATTTTCAAGGAAGTGGCTGGAGTGAGATCTTTAGCCAATAAGAGGCCATGTTTACAGTTGTTTTCTGTACAGACTACTACACTCACTGACAAGTTTAATGATTAATCATTATGTTGTTTGTACTGCCAGACTGATGAAGAGCAACTTCAAGTTCCACCAGTGTAAGGGGGCAATTACAGTCATTGAGACAATCGGCAAAAAAGGAAAGAGGCAATCGCTCTGCTCAAGACTTGATGGCCAAGAAGGTGGAGGAATAAACAGAAGTGCTAGATGCATGAGAAAAGATCTCGCCAACAGTATTGGTGATGTTCTGTACATCAGCAACTTTCAGGCCATTGGAGAGTAAAATGGAAAGGAGATGGGAAGCATACCTCCCATTAACTTTCCAAATCTTATCCCATATGACTTTGGAACTAGTGGTTGAAGAGATGCTAGTTCCAAACTAAATCCAAAATTCCTTTTGGCTTTGACATATATACATGGCCTACTGAGCATGGGCATGGGCCCACTGGAAACCAATGCGATTACAAGGAGTGGGATACCTGCCAAAGGTATCCCAGACCTGTTTATGAGCCTTCCATTCCTGCTGGCAGGTTGGAGATCATCATTGACAAGGATACTGTGGGAAACGTTTTGAGGTTTTAAGTATAAAAAAAGCAGCTGCTTGAATGATACAATCAGTTATTGCCTCCACACAGTCGTTAATAGATGGAAGACTAACGACACCAAGATCGAGTTCTGAGAGAGAGGCAAAATAGAACCAGTCAGCCTGGTACAACTTCCACCTTGACACTCAGGTCAGGTGGCATCGGCCATGGCCAATCTCCCTCAAAACAACAGGAAAATGATCACTGCCCCATGGGTTACTGTCAACCCTCCATGAAAATGACAACTCTGAGGAAATTAGAAATAGTAATAAAAGGGCTAGTGGTAGTTGATTTAATTATGAGTAATACTCTACTAAAGAACAGATTTCAGCCTTTAGCTTGTGAAGATGATGAACTTGAGAGAGAAGGGTAACAAAAGGAACAGATAGGGATGGGAATGAAAACATTAAGTTGTTGTTGTTATAAGAGATTATATAATATAGCATGTGAATAAATAGTCTGTGGGGTAAATTGGAAGAAAACCATTAGATTATGTTATCCAGGGGCAGGAGTGGAAGATATTGCTGATAGAGTAAGGGATATGATAAAGATTACTAGTATTAATACAGTTTTGTAGTCCACACAGGATGGAGGGAAGGGTAAATCAGAGTAGGTAATTGTTATGTACAAAGCATTAATAAAGACATTCAAAGAAAAGGTCATAATAACTTAATTCTGTCAGGTATACTGCCAAGACTTAATTGTGGAGAAGAAATTATAAGCAAATCCCTAAGGCCGAATACTAGACTTGGGTTAATATGTAAGGAAGATCAGGTTGGCTAGTTGAGTTTATGGAATCAGTTCAACAGGAAAAAAGATAACTTTTTGGAATGGATTTTTCACATTTAAATAGGGTAGATGCTGGCTTGTTTACAAGGGATATTATTAACTCAACTGTAAGGGCAACTTTAAACTTCAACAAATCGCTTGTATCCAAAATATTTTTAAAAACCAGTCCAAATGAGGCCTTACCAAAGTTTAGCAATATGTGATGATAAACTCTGTAAAGCTTAACTCAAAATTTCAGTAATCAGAACCCAAAACTGTGTCTGCTCTTTTTTTACTGCATTCAGCTAAAAGTTTAAATGTTTAATCAGTCACCTCTCATCTCATTCAAATTATTCTTACTTCCCACATTATTTCTTCCATAGCAAAAATAAAGTAATTCCAAACTTACATACCAAACATGCATTATTTCACATTTATCAACTGAAAATAATTTTCCACAGATTAGTCCACTCAGCAGAGCTGTACAAATCCTTATGTATTGCATTTTCCATAAAATTACTCTTAACCGGCAATTTATTATTACCAGCACTTATTATCAGTTATGCTTATACAGTAGTCTATATCGCTGACCTAATAATAAACAATAAAGATCCCAAGAAAATTGAGAGACTCCACTGGTCACATTTTTGGAATCAGAACGTAGACATTTATCACAACCCTCTACTTACTTTTACCTTCACAGTTGAAACTAATTTTATATCGCAGAGATAAGTAATAATGTGGAGAGTATATGGACCAAGTTGTTGAATAGAAAAACAAAAAAAAAGTTTACTGCCATTTTTTACAGGTCTCCTATTCATAAAATTATCATATCTAGGAATGTATATATATCTACATGCACAATAATGCTAATAGAAGTAGACTTATTCAGTTATTGATATGAAGACTTTAATTGTAACTTAAGCTTATATTTCTTTATACTATAAGTTAGCACAAAGATTCAATGTTCTACATTTCTAACCTGCTCAATGATGGAATATCAAGTAAATAGAACTTGGATGCAGAAGCTGTTGTTTAACAATGGAAATTCATTATTGAATATTTCTCATGTATTTGCAACAAACATATCAGAAATATGAAGTTACAACTTTTTCTCTATATAAAAACTTAGGTTCCAATCGCTTCATATTCCAATGTTAAGCTTGTTATCTAATTTTATTATGACACACACAAAAACATATTTAAATTTTTCTATCATAATTTGTTCACTTAAAGTGAATGAAAATGCATAATTCATTTGAAAGACAGTAAAAATTCAAACAAATTTTATGAATTATTGGTAGTTTTCCACCCATGTCACCAATTAAGAGTTGCATTGTCCTCCCAACTACTTGCAAGTTGTACTGTTAGCGTTAGTATTAATAGGCTCTAAGAGTGCTGGCCAATTACTGTATGAAAGTTAAAAGTAATAGAAAATTAGACTCTAGAAATTAAAATTGAAAAAAATGGTTCAAATGATAATAGCAAAATAAAACTTCTAAATGCAATTTTTTAAACAATAACTAAGTATAACTTATAAGTGAATTAGTGAGTTACACAAATTTTGTAAAACTTGTATTATAGAATTAATCAGTTTGTTGGCAAAACAATTTTTACCTTAAAATATCAAACATAATGCCCTTGCCTTTCAAATAGAAATAGATATGTACGTAATAATATATTTTAACAAATCAAGAAAAACAAAAACCTTCACGCTGTCACAGTCATGATCCCTTTAGACATATCACACGTTCTTACGCCTGGTTATGGTGATGATAAAATTAATAAAAGTTATGTTTAAAATGTGGTCTAAAACATACGAAAATACAACACCAAAGTGAAATTAAATAACACACTACTAGTAAATGAGCTCATTATAATTATACAAATATTCAAGATAGTTCATATAAAAACAGTAATAGAAACTTACTAAAAAAGCACAATAAATATTGTTTTACTATGAGAATAAATCAATAGCTATGGGTACTACAACTACTACTAGACATGGTCACAATATCTCTACCAGATTTAGTCTGATCCAATTGTGAACTTAAAAATTACCACTTAACCATTTTATACATATGAAATATTTACTGTGAGGGAGTGAGATATGCAGTATTCACATATCTTTTCGTTGAACAACTTAACAAGAGCTGTATACAATTCGGGCCGAGTATAGCCTGGTGGTTAGCTTGTTGGGCAGTGGATCGAACTGTCAAGGATTCAAAACTTAATGCTTCTAAACACGCCCCGCACTTTCAGTTGTGATCGCGTTATAAAAGAGACAGTCAGTCTCGCTATTCTGTTCAAAGGGCTTGACAAAGACATTTTGTTGTTTGGTACTTCTGGTCGGCTGTTCTCCAACTGTTAAAATTAGTAATGTTTCCACCTGAATCCTTGATCTGACCGTTTTGTCGTCATGCACATAAGGTATCATTTAGGTTGAGAATTCCAAGTTTAATTTATTGAAATTGATTAATTTCAAGTTTATCTTTATTTTTTGACTCTAAAAGTTGTCAGTCTTAAGGATATAAAATCCACTTGATTCATAGTTTTAGAGGTTTTCTAGACTCATGTAACAAAATTACATGAGGAACTTTAACCACTGTTGTTAACTGTTATAAATGGCCCTCGAGGGGTTGAGGCAGGGATCTCTGAGGCCCGCAGACTTGATCAAACCAATAAAATAGGTAGTTGAGCCCCTGTTTGGTAATATCTGTAGCCGCCTGTGAAGAACAATGCTTAAAAGTAACCTTGTTTCAGGAAGTAGACAGTAGTATTCTTTAATGGTTGAACGAGTAATATCTAGAGGTTTTGGCCTGCCGATGTGGAATGAGAATGACCAGTCACTTGATATCACAGACACGCTAGATATTTGGAAGCTTTGTTTTACGATAGAAACCTATCATTTAGTTAGTTTTCTTCCATGTATGATCAGAGTCTGATCCTGATTTTGATCTATTAGAGAAGCATCCACTCTTAGTCAAAAAAATACAATCATTGTGTTTTTGTTTAAACATGTAATAAAGCTTTTTACACAGTATTTTACATTTTGTTTCCAGTCTGTTTATTCCTTAGCATTAATTTAATTCAAACAGAACGATTTCATCATTGTTTCACAATTCGATATAATATCGCATTTTCTGTTTGGTAGACTTATGAAATCAAGCTCCAAAGTATTTTCAGCTCACTCGAGAATACCCAAAAATAAAACTGGTAATGGTATTTGACTAACTTTTTGTTGTTCTAGTTACTTATTGTCACAGGCCAATCCAATTATATGTTTTTGAATTATTTCTTATGGAAAATATCAGTAGAAGACTATATAGTTTGAATTTATATAGGCGATTTAATTGATTATGTATGAGTAGAATTACATCAATTATAGTATCATGTAGGCTAGTAAGTTTGTTGAAATTACGATTATATCGATTGATATCACGCAAATAATCAATTAATCGATATTGGTGTTTCGAATTGTTACGTCAGCGAGTCACATGACCACTGTGACGCCACCTATTTTCTAGAACTATCCTGTACCTTGGCGAATGCTCTAGTATTTACTAGATATAGCGTAGTCTGGTATATAAAAGAGGGTGACAACGTGACGGGACAGTATTGTATGTGTGTAGATAGTGAGTAATTGAACTGCAGTCAGAAGTATTGTTGACGTTCGTTGATATAGCGTTTGTTTTAGCGCGATTGTTGAAAATAAGTGTATCGTAAAGTTGTATTCGGAAAGAATAAACCAGTTTTATTAAGTAAGGACTTGTGTCGCTAAAGTTTCGTCGGAACGAAGTTACGGAAAGTTAATTAACAAACGGAGACGTAACAAATTGGTGTCAGAAAGTGGGATAGAAAAAAAAATGGAAACGAGAAGCGGCAAATCAAACTACAGCCTAGCAGACTTGATGGCAGCAATACACGAACAGCAAAAGAAACAAGAAGAACGAGAAGAGAAATTACAACAGTTGTTAGAGGAAAAAGAAATTAAACAAGAAGAGAGATTACAGCAGTTGTCTGAGAAAAAAGAAAAGCAACAAGAAGAGAAATTACAGCATATGTAATTATCATATGTAATTGTATAAAAACAAATATGTGTATAACTACGGAATAAAGTGAAACATTAATCACCTAAGTCAAAACAAAGTAGTAGTCGTAGTTTAACCACGAGAAAAATAGCGAATGTTCGAGTAATGTTGAGTCAACAATATTAGTAAAGCCTCGACAACAATGTGTTTGTAAACACAACTTATTAGGACTTGTACATAGTTACCCAACCAAACTTGTAATAACTATGGCCTTTACAATAATTACTTTTAACTCTCTTTTTATGAAAAGTAAATTAAATATTAAATCACCAAATAAACGAAATAATCATACTTACACCAAACAGTCATATATCCAACAGAGCTACAGAGTAAATACTCTAAGAAGTGTTTAATTATAGAAATATAGGCATAAAAATGGTTTGAAATATCCAATACAAAGTATGTACATAAACGAAATAAAGTATATTAAGAGAAACATTCATAGTAATATACAACAAACTCAAATGTATATTTCTCTCACCTGTAAAATGTTTTTTTTTTTAAATTGCAAACTACCATCCTCAAGTTTTCGTGTGGGGTTGGGTAACTTCAAATAAATAATTTTTTATAGTATTGGCCTTATAGTCTGGATTAAAATATTATTTAATAAGTCCCTGGCCACTGTTGTGTTAATTGCAGATTAGATTAAGTATTTGTTATAGTTAAATACAGCATTTTGGAAATAAGTAAATGATTCTGCAGATCGTTATATTAGATGTGACTAAGATATTACTGGTGCCAATGTGATATCAAAGTATCAAAAACAAAACCTCTTCTGTGACATAGCATATACATATTACAGGTTCTAGACAAAAATGAATGTTCTCAACCTTGAATATTAAAATCGTGCCATTAGATATTGTCTGACACATTAGACAACTAATTCAGGTCTTGTTTATCTTACATGCCTTGCCTGAATGCAAGGTTATTTGCTGTATTTGTGGCATGTTTGAGGAAAGATAAGTTGTTAACCATGGTTTCCCTTTCTCAGGTCAAAATCTGCCCCTTCATCAATGTGCACCAGATATAATTTCTGTTATCAAATAAAATTGTTGTTGTTGTTGTGTTTATTTCTGAGATAAACATTTTTGTTCAATCTCCTTCATTCTTGGTTGAATTGGAGTTATTTCACACCCTACAATTACTAACTTGCAGGTTTGAAGTGCACACCAAGTTTAGGCAAATATGTTTGTAGAACAGCTGGGAGAGGCTTTAAATTTTGAATCTTTGGGAAAGTACAAACAGCCATTCCAAGTGGAATTAACAAGATAGATGTTACAATATGGTAAAAAATAGGATCAGCCAATCAGTGGGCTATCCAGGGCCTCTGAAAGGAATTTTATCAGGGTGTACAAAGTTTCTTTCTGGCCCCCTTCCCTTCTCCATTAATCATTCTCTTCTTATCCACTATGGTTTTATGCCATGAGCTGTAAGGCCAAAAAGGGTATGCAAGATAAGAGAGGGGTGGAATGGAGTGCTCTCTTGATTTTCTGCATTAGAGGCTTTATGCTCCTATACTCCTTCCATGATAAATATTGTTGCGTCATCGAGGTCACGTGACTGGTGTAGCGCTCTCTAGTTTCTAGAACTATCTTGTTCATGAATGCTCTAGTATTTACTAGATAGGGTAGTCTGGTATACGTAAGAGGGTGACAACGTGACGCGGTAATGTAATATAATGTGTGTGTAGGTGTGTGAGTAATTGAACTGCAGTCAGAAGTATTGTTGACGTTCGTTATAGAGCGATTGTTGAAAATAAGTGTATTGTTACGTCTCCGTGTGTTAATTAATTTTCCGTAACTTCGTTCCGACGAAACTTAAGCGACACAAGTCTTTACTTAATAAAACTGGTTTATTCTTTCCGAATATAACTTTACCGATACACTCAACTTCAACAATCGCGCTAAAACAAACGCTATATCAACGAACGTCAATAATACTTCTGACCGCAGATCAATTACACACTGTCTATCCACACATTACCTTCCCCTCTTTTATATACCAGTCTACCCTCCATCTAGTAATTACTAGAGCATTCGCCAAGATACGGGATAGTTCTAGAAACGTGGCGTCACTGTAGTCATGTGACTCGCTGACGCAACACTGCCCCCTCCTTAATATTGTTCGTCCGGAACAATAACCACATATAATAAACCAATAACAATTAACAATAACTTAATTAACTGTACAGAATTATAAACATAAAATTACAATTCGACAAAGTCTCTTAATTTTACGGGACGTATCTTCTTCCGTACTGGTCTCCGTCTTGTTGGCTTCTGCTTCATGTGGGGTTCATCTGCTTCATCAGTAAATGTACCATCATCGGTAACAGTCACATCAGTGGTAGTAACTTCACCAAGAGCTTCACCGTTTCCCTTCTCAAAACTGAGTAGAGTTTCTTCTTCGACGGTGGCTTCTTCAGGTGGCACGTCTTCGGCAGCGTCATTTGTTCTGTTGTCCACTTCGTCCCAACTGAAATGTCCTGGACCATGATAATGCCAAAGCCTGTTGGCATGCACCACTTTTGGCTTACCTCGCCGACCACATTTTATCCGGAAAGTCACGTCTGAGAGACGATCCACTATGTCGTATGGGCCTTCCCATGGAGAAGACAACTTAGGAGACTTCCCTTTTGTCTTCCTGGGATTATAC